TGTATGTGTGTGTGTGTGTGTGTGTGTGTGTGTTTGTGTGTTTGTGTGTGTGATGAGAGTGAATTATGTACTGTGTGCAAGTAGGAATGAAAGTGATAATATTGTAAAATAGCACTGTGGTTCCTTCTTCCTCATGAGCCTGATCTGAGAGAGGCATGGGCAACCCTAGTTCGCCGCTAATTAATCATTATTTCTCTTATCGTGAGTGCTCTCAAGATATTTCTATCATCCATTTCTTCTCTTGTAAGTGCTAGCCATCTGTTCACATCCCTACACAAGTTATATTTTCGTTTTTATCTGCCCTTTTTTTTGCTTTCTGTTTTTCACTTTACAACAACACTATAACTTTCTCTTCCATCAGTCGGGACCGAGACATCGTCTCCAAATTACCAGGCGGGCTCCTCGCTATTCAGAACTTCTGGTTAGGTGGACTCCCTGGCGTGATGATCCAAGCAGTCGATTACGTCATGTCGGCCACCACATGCTTCCTGCGGAAAGATAACTCTAGCAGCAACAATACTTTTGATAACGTGCCTTATTTCCATGATGGTGAAGATTTCTTGTGCCCAGAGGACGAGAAACATAACTGTACAAAGTCCAGACGTCTAGACCGTCTCGTCAAGTTTTCCCATGTCAGAAGGAAAGATGATTTGTTCCCCGAGACCTTTCAGCAGTAAGTGTGGCTCATTGCTCTTTTTTGGTTTTTCATTCTTTTGTTTTTGTGTTTGTTTTTTAACAGAAGTATGTGTACATAATAAGAGCAAACTAAACCTCTGATAGAGCATTAAAAAACATACTTGTTAAAAGAATCCTAACAGTGTACTATTTCAAGCAGCAAAACAATGATACTGTGTAGTATTAGGCATCCCATAACCATGAATAAGAATGTCTGGGGGATAAAGAAAATATCTGCTTTTATTTGGAACAAATTACGTAGATAACTATAAATGTTATTCCAGACCTTACTCGTATTGCTTTTTCGTTGTAAGAATTCTGATTGCATTGCGAATGAGACGCTTCCATTTGAAGAGTACAGTCGGAAAATGAATAAGTGCCCACTTTTAAATTTGCTTTTGCTTTTCTTGATTTCCACTGGCTGTCTCCATTTTGTCTAACAATACAATTATTATTAGACACGGCTGTATTATTTTGTTAATCAAACAGCACAATCATCTATACACGCAAAGATCGGCTGCGGCCCATGTGAACATATAAAATAAATACAGAGTAAATAATTTTTTCATTACTATTGTCGTTTTTCCACAAAGGACTTCATATTATCTTTTTTGTAAATTTTCTACAGGTGTTTGAACAAACTCCTGTCCGCCGATAGCCCCGTCCCATTCCCCAACACGAACAACGAAACCAACAGTACAAGCGTCACTGACACTGACAGCCATTTTGCTTATGATCCGCACCGGAAGAACATTCTCCCAGAGCACTACGCAGGCGCGGCGGAAAGAGGAAGTGGGTGGGGCGAGGGTGCGTTCTACCTTCTCAACACCGTTGACGATGGTCGAGGTCACCGTATATGGTCAAAGGTCGGTTACATCACGTGCAGTGGTGAGAGAGACCTGAAGACTGTCCTCTGGCCAGGTAAGTCCAAGAGAAGGCATACAATGTATACTACTAATTTAAATAAATAGCATTACTTTTTTATAGCGCATATTCCCCTCAACAGCAAGCTCTGTGCGCTTTACAATGATATGATAATATTATTACCATTGCCCCAGGTGACGTTTGAACAACTAGAAACATCGTCATCTTGAAGTATGCAGTGCAAGTTGCCGATTAAGCGCTGAAACATTTTAAAAGTGACAAGATCTTTCGTCCTCAATAGCCGGATACTCATTCCCACCTGGGTGAAGGGAAGAAGATTTCGTGTAAAGTTTCTTTTCCAAGGACACAACGTCGGACTCTTGACGGGTTACGATCCATGACCTTTCAGTTGCAAGGCCAACAGCCCCGCTACTAGACCTCAAAGGCCGCCATGAATTGGTGTCAGCTTTCAATTTTATGGGCATCTCGGCTGATAGTATGTTATGTATCTCGATATCCTAAGCAGTGACAGTATCAGGACACATTATCTGCTGATTTAACTAGCTAGTTTCATACTATAATCTGAAGAATAACCTGCCCAGAAAGATATAATGCAATTCTGACTACCAACTGTCTTTCCCACTTGTGATTTAAACAATGTTGACTCTCTTACAGTCTTTAGTTTTTAGCTTTGTTATAGTAAGGTTTTACGGCGCTCACAACTGCATAAGGTAATACGAGCGCCAAGGGGTGGGTGTCAATAGAGAAGTCTAAACGGTGAATCAGGCTTACTCTGCTGACCTCTCTAGCCTCAATAGCGCAAGATTTGCTTCCACTATCAAGGCATCCGGGAAATTTCAGTTCACAAGAGAATTGACAAACATACAAAAAAGTAAAGGAAACATTTCAATAGTAAGAAAGAGGAAAGATAAAGCAGCAGTTCCCCCAATGTTGTTCCGGCACAGTATGAGCATGACATTGATAAATATGCCTATCATACAATTCTACTGTTCATACGAGCATGTTAATATCCCCC